GTTCTCCTCACGTCATCTCATCATGTAGGCATGTGTCACCTCACATTATCACAAGAAGAAGGGTGAGTACAAGACAGGAAGATTTTGAGAGGCCACATTCACATAACATTTATTACAGTCTATTGTTAAAATTGTTCTTTTTTATTATTAAATAGTTGTTAATCTCTTTCCTGTGCCTAATTTTTAAATTAAACTTCATCATATGAAAAATTGTGAAAGAATTTAGTATATACAAAGCATAATACTGTCCACAGTCTTCGGCATATCTCACACAGATAAGTGGGAACTACTGTATATGCCACTCATTTCTATAGTCATAAACGTTAAGTGTGGTGAACTAAATCCAGAAGGTAGGAGAGATGTGTCAAATAGAATGATAAGCAAATTGACACTAGCATAGTTACTTGACGTGGAAAGATCAAGTGCTGAAAAATGGTGGAAGGAGAATACACGCGTATTCCCTGTGTTTAGTTTATAAGAGAATCTTCCCAACACCTCCTGCTGACTTCCTCACATTTCTGTACCAGTTTTTCCAGAAAGGAGGAGTGAAGGAAGCACTTAGTGAACGAGAACTGTTCAATGCTGTTTCGGGCTTAAACATCTCAGCAGATAATGAGGCGGATTTCCTAGCGGAGGTAAGTGATGCACGGCTGTTTTCCCCTTGCTGGTGAAGGGCTTCACATAGAGGAGATATCTGACACCCAGAGCGGTCTCTCTTCCCCCAAAAACAGAACGAGAGTTGTCTTCTCTTGAGATGTTTTTGCTGATGTTTTCCTCACCAGGCCTACAACTTAGGATAAACACATGGCAAAACACTTTGTTAAGGGATTCTCTGGTTTAGTTAAGATGAACAGGTGACACATTTCTTATTTCCTCTATTTTATGACCAAGTGGATTGAAGAATTCTCTGGGTGCAAAAAAAAAAAAAAGCAATAATACATGATCCCTGCCCTTAACTGAACATAGAAAGTTAGACGTAATCATAGAGATACTCAGTTATTACAGTATCCAAACAGAACCATAAAAAAAATCTTCCTCCAAAGAAGACCTCTTAAAATTGAACAGAAACTAAAAAGAAAAGTAGCAGCTAATTATTTCCAACATGCTACCAAAGCAGAGAACAGTTACAGAGTCTGTTCTCAAACTCCTAAATAGGACTTGAGGTTGGCCAAGCTGTGCTGGCAACTAAAGCCAGAGGAGAAAGGAGAAACATGGTAATAGAAAGCTGTGCAGTTCAGCCTCTAGCACAAGACAGCTGCCCAGGAAGCAGGTGTTACTGTTGCTGAGTGAATGCTGAAATCTCCTGTCCTTGTTCCTGGAAAGCTTTGTTGAGTCCACATTAAGACATATGTGATTCTGATTGCTAGCTTGAAAGGGATCCTAAACTGACCCACCTAATGTAATCAAGTCAACAACGGGCATGAGTGTATGAACATACATGTACACACACATACACACAGGAATTCTAATTCAAAGCCAGCATCAATAAGAGTGACCTTGTTTTAAGAGAATAAAAGTACCGCCTCCATCTAAAGTACGGTTTCTTTGAATTTGACAAGTGGATCAATGTGTTCATTCTGTAGATAGAAGCTTTGGAGAAGATGAATGAAGACCACGTTCAGAAGAACGGAAGGAAAGCGGCTTCATTTCTGAAAGATTACGGGGGCCCTCCAGTACTGTACGATGAATAGCAGCAGTCCCCACTGCTTTCAGCGGTAACGCGGCGGTCACTGGCGCCTGCCAAGAGCCAGCGGAGTCATGGGTGACTGACATGCCAAGACACGAGGAGGCGTGTACACTGGTGCTTCTCTGCTTCCCTCTGTCACTCACGTGCCGGATGTGTGGAATGTTTAGCTCAACATCGAGAGAATAAAATGTCACTACCTCTCACCTGAACAGGATAATAGAGTTCTTTAACAGCTCTAGGTTGTCTAGCTGAAGTGGATCTAATTTTACAGGACTCATGGCATAAAATGTTTTGATGAGAATTGTAAAAACGTAGCCAGCTCTTCCAGATACAGGGGACAGGACAGATGTGTTTACCCAGGGGAGCTCAATGACAGCCTACTTGGTTTTTTCACCTCCTGGTTTTGTGTTGCGTCTTTCCTCAAATATTTTATTGGCCTAAATTAGCCCTTCTCAATTCTTTTTCCAAACTGCAAATACGATTCTGTAGGAAAATTTCTTCTCCTTAGTGGATATTATTAATGGAAATTTGTTTTCAGAATGACTGCGGGAAACATACAAACAATGTACTTTTTATTGATACATCATGAAAATGGACTAAATTCTATTTTTTCCATGTTCATATCAAAGAAATGGCATCATAGAGATAAGTATAAGAGAACTTCATTACCCACAGTTTTAAATTTCACTTTTTTAGCTTTTCTACATTTAGGTAAAGGGTTAGGATGTAGCTCACTGTGTGGCTATTCTACATTTATAATGAAATATGCATTATCTGGAATGACGGACTTAACCATGTCTGACGTATTTTAATGAAGTCAATGAGACATATTTTAGTTTACATCTCACTAAAACTGTATTTATTGATTTTGAGAGAAACATAGCTAACCAATGAGAAGTATTAAATAATCAAAGGATGAAAATATGTATGAAAACAATTCAGATACCAAATCAACCCACTAATTGGAACCATCCAGCCTCACTGTTAGTAGTTGTTAGTACCGGCAGGACAGCACTTTGAGAAAGCAAGCAGTGCCCTGGAAAAGGACCTGGCTTTGTTGGGACTGCAGGGTCGTCATTCCTCCTACCACTACAGATCCAGCTTCCGGTCTGGTCATAGGAAGTAAGTTTGGACATCATTTACATTTGAAGACTTCCCTTTTAACAGTACTCTAAAAGGCCAGATACGTTCTTTCTAGAAAAATATTTATTTTTGTTTCTGTGTTACAGCTTTTAACTGCATTTCAGAGAAGTGTGGTTTTGGGTGGATACTCATTATATTTCTGAAATGTTTACTACTCTGAAACAAAGATGTAAATGGTGATTACTGGCTTTACAGAAATTTCAGAGAACTAATTTTTATTATCATTAACCATTTAAAACTTTTTTGTTTTGTTTTCTGACATACTCTTTGACAAAAAGCAGCAAACCATTGATGCGTGGCATTCTTGGAGTGTGCTGTGAACGTACTTTTTAAGAAATTAAAAGTGCAGAGATCATTTTAGAATTGGTCCTTTGTGTGATTTCTTCCTGTCCCTTGATTACCTTATATCCTGACACCAAGTTACCCTTTCTGTATAAAATGAAACGGTATTTTCTAAGCAGATAATCATATTTAGATTTCACTTTCAGCTGGTATATTTCTCATTACAAAATGGTTTTCCCCTCTTAGAGATCAGAGACTAAATTTTTCACAGATTGGAAAAAGAAGGTGGGAAATGTTGGTTTGCTAAATAAACCAAATGAAAAAAAATTATGGAAACAGGGATATTTTGCCTCATTTTACTGGAAGTAGCTATCAATAGCTATACAATAAGGAAGGTTGTAGCAAATTTTTCTTTCAGCAAAATAATTTGTTGTCAGCTTCCTTAATGTAAAACAAAAATCAGGTTTTTTTCCTGTTTGCAAAACTAAAACATGCTCATTTGAATTTAGATAGTACCAAAGTTTAGAATGTTAAGAGACCCGTGGAGTTCCTGGCAGGGGTGGGGAACTTCTGGCCCACGGGCCGGATAAGCATGTAGCCTGCACCTACCAAGCAGCTGCAGGCAGGACTCGTAACTCAGTAGATCTACAGCAGGCTCATTTTTAAGTTGATAATTCCGTATGGTCTGCAGATGATGTTACAAATACCCAAATGGCCCTTGGCAGAGAAAGGGTTCCTAGCCTGGTTTAGAATGTGGTGTGCATCCCTGCCAGTTTTTCCCTCTCTGCATATATTACTTTCTGTTTTCAAAACATCTGTGAACAGACGGCAAGATGAAGCGAGGCAGCTGGTGGGGAAATGCTGAGCATGGTAGACCCTTTAGGAAGATGAAGGTAGAGCCCTGAGAAGTGCCGGGAGGACCACAGGGCTTAGCACTCATGCAGCCTCTGGGCGGCAGAGAGATTGTTTCCACACCTTTTGAAATCGCAAGCACTTTGCCAGCCCTATAGAAATGGAGCAAGGGAGGAGGCTCTTCAGATTGTGTTTTTAAACCATGATATTTAGGGCTTTGAAGATGTATATTTTTCTGGTTTTGTTTTTTTTTGGGGGGGGGGATAGTGTAAAACTTTGTTTTCTCTCTCTCTTTTTTTTTTTTTTTTTCAAAAGGCAAAAGATCAACAGATTTTCCACCTGCTGGTTCACTCCCCAAATGGCTGCAACAGCCGGGGCTGGATCAGGCCAAAGTCAGGAGCCTGGAACTCGGTCTGGGTCACTCTCCTCTGTTTCTGTGCCTTTTTAGAGTAAGATCCAGGGGCTGGTGCATTGGGTTAATCCTTTGCCTGTGGCTCTGGCATCCCACGTGGGCACTGGTTTGAGTCCCGGATGTTCCACTGCCAGTCCAGCTCCCTGCTATGGCCTGGGAAAGCAGTGGAAGATGACCCAAGTCATTGGGCCCCTGCACCCACATGGGAGACCAGGAAGAAGCTCCTGGCTCCTGGCTTCAGATCTGTGCAGCTCTGGCCATTGCTGTCATTTGGGGAGTGAACCAGCAGAGGGAAGACCTTTCTCTCTGTCTCGCTCTCACTATCTGTGGCTCTGCCTCTCAAATAAATAAAATCTTAAAAATAGAGTCCAAAGGGCTTGCAGCAGGCTGAATCTGGCCCATGTTAAAGGCCCATTCTCTTGTCCTAGACTTCTTTACTTATTCTGGCCACACCAGCTTAATTCGCAACCACACCTGCCTCAGGGCCTTTGCTCTTACTGTTCCCTCTGCTTGGAATGCTCTTCTAGGTACCCTTCACATCTCCACCCCTCCAGTGTCTTTGTGTGCAAATGTTTTTTGACTATGATCCACTGCTGTACAACCAAGTACTTCAAAGTTCCGTGGTGTAGAGCAACAAGCATTTTATTATCTCACACAGTTTCTGAGGGTTAGGAATCCAGGAGTGGCTTCTTGGCTGATTCTGGTTCAAGGACTCATAAATTTGCAGCTGGCTCTACCCCATTCTGAGAGCCTGGCTAGGACTGGAGGACCCACTTCCAAGATGGCTCACTCGTGTGTGTGTAGTAGAGGCAAAGTCGTACTTCTGTCCTCCGGGGGGTTTATTAGCTGGACCTGGAAATGAAACATATCAGAAAAAGCACACACATTTATTTAATGTCAATTTTATACAACACAGGCATCCTCCTAAAGAAACGAAGACAAAGAAACATTCTGAGTTAGACAAGGAGGAGCAGATTGTGAGAATGTTAGTAAGGCAAGTGGGCCTGGGCTAGGGTGGTCATGGGAAAGTGACCAGGAAGCTGAGGCTTAGTTCAGCCAGGCTGGTCTGAACAGAGTTCCTTCAGCTTTGACTCTCCATCTCTGGGGAGAAAAATGTCTTTTTTTCGGGGCTGACACTGTGGTGCGGTAGGTTAAATCTCCACTTGTGGCGCCAGCCTTCCATATGGGTGCTGGTTCAAGTCCCAGCTGCTCTTCTTCCAATCCAGCTCTCTGCTATGGCCTGGGAAAGCAGTGGAGGATGGCCCAAGTGCTTGGGCCCCTGCACCACTTGGGAGACCCGGAAGAAGCTCCTGGCTCCTGGCTTTGGATCAGCCCAGTTCCGGCCATTGTAGCCATTTGGAGAGTGAACCAGCAGATGGAAGACCTCTACCTCTCAAATAAATCTGTTTAAAAAAAAAATGTCTTTTTTCTCCGGGTACAGGGAGGCCACCTTCCACAAGATAGTTTTACCTCCAGCTTTCAGGAAGATCAGAGCACCGTTCAGCATCTGCTGGCTTTAGTTTTTAGTTTTGGTTTTAGGCTTTCAACTCAAACGTCAAGATGCTGCAGTGGTGCATTGAGCGGTGACAGGTTCAAGGTGTCCCAGGGCTGTTGGCAGGAGGCTTCAATACTATGGAGGCAGCAGCTTCTCCCGAGTGCCGCTCGTGTGTCCTTGCAACCTGGCAGCTGGTTTTCCCCAAAGCATCCAAGAAAGAGTAAGGCAGAAGCCACAATGTCTTTCATCATCTCTGTCACTAGTGTGATACCCTACTGATGTGCAGGTCTGCCCTGTTCAACCTGCAGGGTGGCTGGGCACTACGGAAGGACAGAGCCAGGAGGCAGAACCCCTTGAGGCTTCTCCTAGCTAACACATTTTACTCCTCTGTTTCTACCTGCTAACCAGTAAGCCTGGTGAGAGCAGGAAGTTCAGTTGGCCTTAATCTTGTATCCTGGGCCTTACGATGGCACCTGGCATCTTTGAGTAGATGCTCACACCTACATAGCAGTAGATGTTACAGCTGGGTGGCTTGGGTTGGGCTGGGAATTACATGGAATCTGCTTCAACTTTTAAGTCTTCAACAGCTGTCCTGATATAGAATAGGCTCTTGCGCAGGCTGTGAGCTCCGCGTTACCTGAACTGTTAATACAGGTGGGGGCCTGCCACAGTTGGGTGAGTTCGTTCTTAAGGACCCTTCCGTATCTTGTTGCCCCTGGAGGGATGGCCAAGCTCTACCTCTGCCTCTTAGGCTCCCAGCTGGCTCTAGTTAAATTGACTTAAGCTAGATTAACAGGAGAAATATTTAATACAAGTTTCATGTGGCACAAAACCCCTCGTAGGGACATGAAAACAAAAGCAGTAGTTAGAGTGTGTTGCTCTGTGAAATTGTACCCCAAAACAGTAAGTTACAAAGAAGCAACTAGATTACACGGATGGCTTAAAATAAAAGTTTTTAATGTATTTGTTTTTTTGAAAGAAGAGATCTTCCATCTGCTGTTTCACTCCCCAAATGCCCCCAACAGCTGGGGCTGGGAGACAGGAGCTCAAGTAGGTGAGCTCTCAGCTGCTGCCTCCCAGGGTGCACATTAGCAGGAGGTCAGGAAGCTGGATTGGAAGATGGACAGTGATGCAGGATGTAGGCATCCCATCCCAAGACGTGCCAACTCCTGCCCCTGGAGTGGCATTTCTTTTCAACTCCTTCACCCTATACTTGAAAAATGTTGTTTTCTGTTTGGGAAGATAATACATGCTTATTTACAAAATTCAAATAATACCAAAAATGGAAAAAAAAAGCAGAAATCACCCACAGTACAAGATAACCACAAATACATTATTCCTAGTGCTTTTTAAAAACTATTATAAAGGTTTATTTATTTATTTGAAAGTAGAGTTACAGAGAGGGAGAGAGAGAAATCTTCCATCTGCTGGTTCATTCCCCAAAATGGCCAAGGTGGGGCTAGTTCAAAGTGAGGAGCCAGAAGCTGCTTCTAGGTCTCCCATGTGAGTGCAGGCGCCCAATCACTTGGGCCATCTTCTGCTTTCCCAGGCACATAAGCAGGGAGCTGGACTGGAAGTAGAGCAGCTGGGACTCGAACTGGCTGGCACCCATATGGGATGCCAGCTCTGCAGGTAGTGGCTTAACGTGCTGTGCCACAATGCCAGTCCCACTCCTGTTACTTTTGATACACACATATACATGCGAATACAAATATATAAACACGCATGGGGTAGCCCATCCTGGAAAGGCAGCAGATGATGGCTCAGGTACCTGGGTTCCTGCCGTCTGAGTGGGAGAGTGGGATTGAATTCCAGGCTCCTGGACCTGGCCTGGTCCAGCCCAGAATGTTGTGGGTATGTAGGGAGTGAACCAGCTCAGGGAAGACCTCTCTGTTGCTCTCCAGCCCTCTGCCTTTCAAATAATTAAAACTTTAAAAAAAAAATGCATCCAAATATAAAAACTTAAGAAATGAAAAAGTAGGTTACAAAGCAGTGATACATGTAGTGAAGATTTGTCTGTAAATATAGGTATGCATTCTTTAAAAAGCTCCTTTTACAAAAATTATGCTCATTTCAAGGCCAGAAGGAGTTTAGAACATTTGAAAAAAGTGCAAGTCACCTGGAAACCTGCCAAGTGTGGCTCTCATTCCACCACACTTTGGTACCTATCTCCAGATGCTTGTTGTCTGACAAAGAAAAAAAGATGAGCAGAACGGAACGCAGACAACGGGAAGCTTACGTGTTCTCGGGTGGTGAGGCTGTCAGCACTTTCTCTGCTACTGAGGAAGGAAAACAAGCAGGTGGAGCTCTTATCTTAGACACCAGGAGTTACCCTGAGCTTTTGGTGGTTCTGGAAAACACAGGCCCATCGTAAAATAAGGAAGAAAAACAAAACTAGCCAAAGAGCTCACTGCTGATCCGCAAACCCCGGAGCCGGCAGGACAGGCAGGCCATTGTACATTCGCCCAGCCAGGGCTGAGCCGGCTCCAGGCTGCCTGTTCTCAGTTTACCCACTCCCAGCAGGGAGACCCCTGCAAGGCCCCAGCCTGCTCCTCTGCAGGTTCTGGAGCCCAGCGTTTAGCACCCTGCCTGTGAACATACCTCCCTCTTTCAGCTTCTCTTTGCCATTGCACTTGACATCTCTGCCCCTCATCCATGGCTTTCAGAGCGGCAGCAGCAGCAGCTTGGTTCTGGAAGAAAAGTGCCAGCGCAGGTCAGACTGCCTGCCCCTCCTCCAGGCTCAGGGCCTCCCCGCTTCTCACCGGTACCCTCACGAAAGGTAAGAGAACGGCCTTCAATTAACCGATTATTAACGAAACCCAAGATCCTCATTACTTTGGTAATTCTTGTCCCATGTCCTCATGTTTTCAGGTTCCAGGTGAACCAACAATTGTTGAGGAATCATGAGAAAATCCTCTTCCTCTTTTTTGGTGGTTTAGTAATTGTTCATATGCAGGTTTGACTTTCACAGTTAAATAACTGAGAGGACCTTCCACGTTTGTCTGAGAACAGATGTCTAAAATGATCACGTGAGGAGGTGTCCTGAAAGTATGGATTGCCAAGCCAGAGTATCGGGAATAGGACACTGGAATCTGAATTTTAAAAAAACAGTGCAACCAACCCTAAAAGGCCACGGGCGTGGAAGGAGCCTATTGTTAGTTGCTAACCCAATGATCACTTCCATTTTGTCTCCCTACTGAAAACTCCAGTTTTCCCCAGGGCACAATATGCCCAAACTACATTTCCCAAACCCCTTTGCAGCTAGGGTGGCTATTAGACACAACTGGGGCCAAGAGGTGGAAGCCAAGGTCATTTGGTGGGAAGCTCTGGAAAGGCTCTTAAGAAAGGATCAGGGCCGGCGCCGCGGCTCACTAGGCTAATCCTCCACCCTGCGGCGCCGGCACACCGGGTTCTAGTCCCGCTCGGGGCGCCAAATTCTCTCCTGGTTGCCCCTCTTCCAGGCCAGCTCTCTGCTGTGGCCAGGGAGTGCAGTGGAGGATGGCCCAAGTGCTTGGGTCCTGCACCCCATGGGAGACCAGGAGAAGCACCCGGCTCCTGGCTTCGGATCAGCACAGTGCGCCGGCCGCGGCGGCCATTGGTGGGTGAACCAATGGCAAAGGAAGACCTTTCTCTCTGTCTCTCTCTCTCACTGTCCACTCTGCCTGTCAAAAAATAAAAAAAAATTAAAAAAAAAAGGATCAGACTCAGCCAGCAAGGGCCTTTTGCCTGTCACACTTCCTGCCTGGGGACCATGGACCCATGCTAGAAGCAAGTGTGCCCCTTGCACGTAGGAGGCGGGGAACATGAGGATGCACCACACATGCCTGAGGCAGGGCTGCTGAGAGGAGAGGAGAGAGAGGCGTGATGGCCGAGACATCATGGAGCCTCAGCAGCAGGCCTGGATGGATCCTCCAGACTACTGGTCTCCTCCAGAAAATCGGCCCCTGATTTGGTTGTTACTGTATGTTGGGTTTCCGGTTAGTTGCACTGAAATGCAATTCTAACTGATGTGATACCTTGAACAATCAAGACAGAGGACAGGAAAGGAGAGGGCTGTGTGCTGATGCCTGCGAGAGCAGAGTGGAGTACATTACAAACTGCGTTGAATGAAAGCTTGGGGGAGTTTCAAGGCACATTGCATTGCTCTGTCAACAGGAACAAGTGAACAGCAATTCAAACCTCCCCAAAGCTGGGTAACAAAGTCAGCTGTTGGTAGAAACAACCCAAAATGTAGCGTGATTTGCACAAAGCATGGAGAGATTGACCACGACTTTGGGACATTCTCTTTCAAAGGGACAAGGTTAGTGACCAAAGATTGCATTTATTTTCTCTAGAGACTTCTGTCCTTAATAGACCTTCCTGTGGGGTCAAGTTCAAATAGGTCTGCAGACTTCTACCCTCTAGGCCGTTTCCTGTGGTGAGGGGAGGGTCAGCTAGCAAGGGGCACAATTGGTGGGAAGCCCATTTTCCAAGTGATGGCTCAAGATTCTCCAAAAATAGAGGCGAGGTGGCTTATGGGGGATATTGAGGGTGGAGCAGGCGTGGCACAGCCGATGAGGTGACCCAGGCGGGACCAAGGATTCCTAGCAGAGCCCGGTGCCCTCTTGCAGGGCTCCTCCTGCAGCAGGCCCAGAGAAAGCAGGGCTCTGAATTCACCTGCCAAGGCTGAGGCTCTGCCAGACACCTGTGACAATCATGGGTGCAGGTACATTAAAGGGAAGGGCAAACATAGTGCTGGAGCAGAGCAAAAGGAAACTGGAGCTGACGAGGAGGGAAGGGAGGGGGGAAAGGGTGGCTGCACTGCCGCAGAGGGGACAGGAGCATAGGTTGGGAGTTCCAAGGGGCAGCTGGGGGAGCCTGCTGATGGGATGGCAGGGTGCGGCAGGAGAGCAGGGTCCTGGAGTGAATGATTTTTTTTTCCAGTGGGATGCTGAGGGGAGGGAGGGGTCTTAAATGAAGGCACTCGAAACAGTTAATAGAAAACAGAATTGAATGCTTATTTTGATATAAAAAGGTGTGAAATCCATGCCCAGTCTTCATAGTACACATTGTCCATGAACTTCCTTAAAGACCCCTCCTAGTCCCTCCTGTGATGACTTTCAGACCCATGCATCCATCATCTGCCCAGATGTCTTCTCTCCTTGAACCCCCCCCCCCAATTGTGGGCCTGCTTCCTGCAGAATTCTCAGAACTGCACCAGTAGCTGTCACACACCGTCATCTATCTGCAGTGAAGCAGGAGCCCACGGGAATCCTCTCCAAGGTGCTGACTTTATATTGGAGCAGGGGACAATGGGTGTCTTTCACGTTAGGGGGAAGTGAATGTGAAAGAGGGGGAGTTCTTGTCACCGTATGGAGAGCTGGGGACCAGCTCGCAGGCGTGAAACCAAGCCCCTTCACAGCGCCTTGGCCATGGATGCACGATACCCCCAGGGCCTTGTCTCCTACCATCTCCCAGCCTCCCTCCCTCCCTCAGCTGAAAGTTTCCTTGCCCTGCTTTTACTAAAATCCACCGAGTTGAGGGGTGGTGCAGCCGGCACTGCAGAGTCCCTGATGGCGAGACTCATGAGGTCATTTATCTCCCCTAGGGATCTCTTCTCTGGGAATCCCAGGCCCTGAGAAACAAGGAGCGGTCACCTGACACCACAGCCTGCCTGGCCATCACCAAAATCCCCTAAAAAACATGACAGCACTGACCAGTCACAGGAGGGCCGCGAGGTCTGCCGACCAACCAGGGACTTGGACAGAGCTGAACACACATCTCGAAAGGCCACCCTCACTTTACAAGAACCTTTACCTGTAAGCCCCTGTGGAGCCTGGGATGGAGCCCTGGCTGCGGGGCTCCTCGCTCTGCACCTTGCAATAAATACTGCTTTCCTTCAGCACCCTGGTGTCAGACATTGACCTGCTGCACGTCAGGTGAGGGGACCCCATTTGAGGGGTTCTATAGGAATTCCTCCAGCTAATTCCAGGGGTGTTCTTAACAGTGTCCTTCAGAAACCTGCTTCCACACAGGCTGTGCCTTCATGGTGGTGAGGGTTAAGCTCCTCCTGGGGTGAGATCTTGGCCAAAAGGGACCCTGGGGTACTTTCTGACCCATCAGCAGTCACCCTCGCAGTAGTCTGGCCTGGTGCAGGCAGCCTGGGGGTTGCCTCTCTCCGAGGACCGGGACTGAGAAGCTGAAAGACAACGCTGGAGAATATCGGGTACCTTTCAGGTCCTGAAATGGAAATGAGTCACCAGCAAGATTTCCAAGGTGCTCAGGACCGCGGCCAGTGACAACACGTCCATCATGGAGCTCTTGACCTTCCCTGCTCCTCTGCCAAACTCGCCCACCTTCTGCAGCCTAGAGAGCGGAGCGCAGCTGCAGTTAGGCATGGAGACCTGGGGGTCATCTGTGAGCCTGCTCTTCCCTCCCATCCACCTCCTCTCCTGCGCCCTGAACCAGGCACTCTCCCTCTTTCCCCTTCCCTGGTCTTGTCTGACATCAACTCATGCCCTTCGGATATTGAAACCACTCAACCACGGCGCTCTGAGAATTTAAACCACCGTGTGATCCAGCAATCCCGATTCTGGGTATGTGAGCATATCCAAAGAATTGAAAGCAGAGTTGCAAAACATACATTTGTACACCCCACTCACAGCAGCACTGTTCACAATAGCCAAGAGGTGGAAGAACGGGTGAACAAGACGTGGTGTATACGTACCAGGGAATACCAAGTCTTAAAATTCCTGGCAAATGCCACACCATGCGTGGACCTGGAGATCACTGTGCTAAGCTAAAAGAAGGTGGACAGGAAAGGGCACATATTATAAAGTTCCACGGACAGGAGGCACCTAGGTTAACAACAGACCTGCAGACACAAGAGGTAGAAGGGTGGCTTCCAGGGGCTGGGGGAGGGGAGCCAAGGTGAGTTCCTGGGTTGTTTCAGGTTTGCAAGATAAAACACTTCTGACCTGGCTTGCATGCCTGGCTGCCTGGGAATGCTTGGCTTACTGGTCTGACTCTGCTCTCTGCTAACGCGCACACTCTGCGAGGCAGCAGGTGATGGCTCTAGCAGCTGGGCCCCTGCCACCCACGTGGGAGACCCCGACCGAGTTCCTGGCTCCTGGCTTCTGCCCAGCCCAAACCTGGACCAACAATGGGAGAGCTCTCCTGTGTGCGTGCCAGTGCCTGCATTTCAAACAAAAAATTAAGGTTCCGGAGTTCTATTTCACAATCATGTCAATGTGCTCAACATTACCGAGCACGTGAACAGGGTTAGATGGCTACGTTTTAGGTTATTTTCTTTTCAGCAATTAAAAAGCTGGGCGATCTGCAATCTACATGGGTTTGCCTCCTCCAGGCTCCTCTCTCTCACTAAGCTCCAGGCGGCACGCGCGGGTGGCGCACAGTAAATCCTCCCGAGAGGAGGGCGAAGCCTTGCACAGGCCCGGGGCAGCCCTGGCACCAACCCCTACGGAACACGCGCGCGCGCACACACACACACGAGCCGGGGGAAGGCGCCGCGTGCGCCTCGGGAAGGGGCGGAGCCGCTTGCACAGGGCGGGGCGCGGGGACGGTCTGTGGGCCTCACGGGCCGACGCGGCCCCTTTAAGAGCCGAGGGCGCAGGATCACGTGGCGGGAGGGGCGGGGGCGTGGCACCAGGAAGCGGACTCGGAGCCGGGCCGAGCTCGCCGCCGCCGCCTCCCGTCCCCGCGCGTCCCGTGCTCGGCTCCAAGCTGGCGGCCGCCCCCGGCCCCCCTGTCGCCGCCTCCGCGGCGCCCGCCATGGGCGAGGAGGATTATTACCTGGAGCTGTGCGAGCGGCCGGTGCAGTTCGAGAAGGCGAACCCTGTCAACTGCGTCTTCTTCGATGAGGCCAACAAGCAGGTCCCGCCAGCCCGCGCCCTCCCCGCCCGCGCGCGCGGCCAGCTCCGCAGCTGCGGCCCGCGGCGCCCCGCACCGCTCGGCGGTCGGCGCGCCAGGGCCGAGTGCCCGCTGGCGCAGGCCGGGCCTCCCCACCGGTCCCCGCGCGGGAGCCGGCGCTCACCCGCTCCTTGATGGGCGGGCCGTGGGGGCCGGGTCCTGCCCCGGCCAGGCGGCCCCGTGGCCCCGCAGGTGGCTCCGGGGGTGGACGCGACGCAGTGGCGCTGGGGCCGGCGTTGTCAGCGGCTGGCACGCCGGGCTTTCCCGGGAGCCTTTTGTTGTCTGCGTTTGTCATCAGTTACACTTGTGGCCAAGGATTTGGGCAGTGACGTGATTATTCTGTCTCGGAATTTCTAAGGGGGGCCGGGGAAAGACAGCGTGTACTTGGGGTGCTTGAGCGGCGCGGGGGCGCAAGCCGGGGGGGGGGGGTCCCCGGAGCCATTCCCTTCGCGTTTTTGCTCTCTGGGTTCTTAAGGTGCAAGTGAACAGCTCGGCCTCGGTGTGGGCCGTGTTGGCTCCGCGGAACCGAGGGTGAGGCCCAGCAGAACCTAGCCCTTGCCGGTTGCTGTAGGAGCCCGTGTCCCCAAGGCCCAGGCCGCTAACGTGGCTGCTTTTCCCTCTCAGGTGTTCGCTGTTCGATCTGGTGGCGCCACCGGGGTGGTGGTTAAAGGCCCAGACGACAGGAATCCCATCTCTTTTAGGTAACATTCTTGGCTTTCTCGGGGTAATGTCAGCGTGTAGACGGGGTGCCTTGCCAATTGTAGGCTTGTCTGATCTCACCATTTGCCTCCCGTGAGAGGTCTGGAGTGTGTGTACAGCATGGGAATTGCAGCTTGCAGACACCTGCTGGGCACACACCAGCCCTTCCTGCCCCCCCTTACCCCCGTGACATGTGTGGAGCTGTTGGTTGGGGCAGAAGGGCACCTACTTCCTGGTACTTGGAATTAGCGGGTCAGGGCGCTCAGGGGCCCGTTTCCTGTGGGTGGACTTCCTGTCTGTTTCAGCCCAGGTTCTATCAGTGTTAGAAAGGTGGTGACATTCAGTGTCCCCCTGTCCTAAGGCAGGGAGACCATGGCCTCCACCGTGCTCAAGGGGACCAGATGGCCCAGTTTACACACATGATTATCCATAGTGGCTCCTTTCACTTTCAGAAGTGTCTCCATTTGGGTGATAAACTGTTTATACACATGGAGGCCCTTATTCGGTGGTGACTTTAAGAACTTTTACAGTGGGCCTGCGTTCATGGGAACCAGATTTTGAAAGACAAAATCACTCATTCTTTTATGGTCACGATGGCAGCCCCTGTACTAGGTACCAAGCAAGTGAAAGCTTTGACCTTGAGCCACCCCACCCCCACTTTTGGAGTGTGGGAGACGGGTGAGTGGACACACACGGTTCACTGTGATAAGTGGATAATGGAGCTCTGTTTCCAATGTGGACCACAACAGAGACGTGACATTCAGGGAAGGCCACTGGCCAGGGGCCCTGGGGTTGGGAGAGGCATTGGATAGGGACAAGCTTTGAGCGAAGTTTTAACATTTTACTTTTTATTTGGGGCTGGCGCTGTGGCGCAGTGGGTTTAAGCCCCAGGTTTCAGTGCCGGCGTCCCATATGGGTGGCTGGTTCGAGTCCTGGCTCCTCTGCTTCCGATCCAGCTCCCTGCTAATGTGCCTGGGAAAGCAGCAGCAGATGGCCCAAGTGCTTGTGTGCCTACACCCACACAGGAGACCTGGAAGAAGCTCTCCTTCCTGGCCCAGCCCTGGCTGTTGTGGCCATGTAGGGGAGTGAACCGGCGGATGGAAATTTGCTTGCTCTCTAACAGTGTCTTTCAAATGAATACATTTTTTAAAGAAAAGAAAGTTTCATTATTTATTTGGAAGGGAGAGAGCAGGGAGAGAGGTGTTTCCTTCCCAGTGGTTCAGTCCTTAAATGCCTGCAGCAGCCAGTGCTGGCCTAGGCTGAAGCCGAGACCCAGAGCTCAGTCTGGCTCTCCGACATGGGTGCCAGGGACTAAACTACTAGAGCCCTCACCTGCTGCCTCTGAGGGTGTGCACAGGAGACTGGACTTCAGTGGAGCTGGGACTTGAATGCTGGCATCCCAAGTGTCATCTTACCTGTTGCACCGAAGGCCTGCCCCAAGCAGATTTTTAAAGTATGAATGGAATTATTTGTAAGTGGGGAGGAGGAGGCCCTCTTGGTGAGGCAGCAAGGTATTTTGGGAGACTTGAGAATTTTTTAAGTTTTTTCAGAATGAGATTCTTACTGAGGTGTAACTGGCACACATTCACCACATACAGTGTGATGAGTTTTTTTAAGATTTATTTATTCGGGCCGGCACCGCGGCTCAATAGGCTAATCCTCTGCCTGCGGCGCTGGCACACCAGGTTCTAGTCCCGGTCGGGGCGCCGGATTCTGTCCCGGTTGCCCCTCTTCCAGGCCAGCTCTCTGTTGTGGCCCAGGAGTGCAGTGGAGGATGGCCCAAGTGTTTGGGCCCTGCACCCCATGGGAGACCAGGATAAGCACTGGCTCCTGCCTTCGGATCAGCGCGGTGCGCCAGCCGCAGCGCGCTGGCCGCTGCAGCCATTGGAGGGTGAACCAACGGCAAAGGAAGACCTTTTTCTCTCTCTCCCACTGTCCACTTTGCCTGTCAAAAAAAAAAAAAAAATTATTTATTCGAAAGGCAGAATACAGAGAGAGGTAGCAACAGGGAGAGAGATGTCTTCCATCTACTTGCAGCTGGAGCTGGGCCAGACTGATGCCAGGAACCAGGAGCCTCCTCTGGGTCTTCCTCATTGGTGCACTTGGACCTCCCATGCCTTCCAAGGCACACTAGCAGGGAGCTGGATTGGAAGTGGAGCAGCCAGGACTCGAACCAGCGCCTGTGAATGGGATACCAGCACTGCAGGCTGGGGCTTTAACCCGCTGTACCACAGCACTGCCCACAGTGCGATTTTTGACACACACATGTCTATGAAA